CAGGAAAGGCACCCTAACACTGTCTGAGAAAGGGGAGGAAGAAATTTACGGAATGGAGGACACACAGCCGAGTCCTGAAGGTTAAACAGCAGTGTTCCAGACGAACGAAAGAAAGAAAGAACACTTCAGACAGAGGAAAAACAGCTGGCAGAGGGCAAAGGGCAGAGGCAGCCTGCAGTACTCAGTAAGTGGAACAGAGGAGATGTGGAGTGGGAGAGCCTGGAAAAGACAGGTGGGAGACCTCGCTTAGGGGCTTTGCATGCCAGAGGCACCCGGCCAGGACTCAGGAGGCTTGCAGCAGCCACCCAGAGATGCCAAGCAGATGCAGGGTGCTTCGGGTTCGTGTTATGCGAGATCTCTTTGACCACAGTTTGAGAAAGAAATCGGAGGCAAGGGAAGCCAGGAATGAGAAGCTTGTCTAGTTCAGCTTTGAGGGGCTGAAAGCCTGGATGAAAGGGGCAGCAAGGGGATGGGGAGGAGAAAGCAGATGTAGGAGGCAGTGCAGAGGCAAGACCAGCAGTGCCTGGCGACAGGCTGGTTGTGACGTGTTCGGGGGCCGTGTCTAGGAAGACTCCTGGGTTTCTGGTTTTAACCAAATCCTCCCCCCCACAAAACGACTGCTCCCCAGCTGTGATGCCATCTGCCAACTTCCAGCCCACAGCCAATTTCATCTCCAAAGCAGAAACCATGAGTAAACAGAAATAACTCCTATCTTATGAGGTAGCAGATCTTAAACCCATAAGGGGCTGACACCCTGAACGGCAGCGATGGGACCAATCGGCTGAGTGAAAGGATTTGAATCATAACGGGTTTCTGTTCATTAACCACCAAAAGCGACCAAGTGTCAAACATAAAATTCCAAGGTGAGTAAATGAAGGCATGATGAAGTGAGAGAACGTTCTCGGGAACTGCGTACCCCAAGCCAACACCAATGCATCAGTGAGTACTCACGGAGTCCCCACATGCCCGCCAGCCGGACCAGAGCCATGACAGGACGTGAGGAAAAGCAGCATCCACTCCTGAGCTTACCTTCCACACTGAGCTGGAGCACAGCTCCTCACACATAGAGAACTAAACCACGAGGCCAAAAAGGCCAAAAGATAAACTCGTCACCTTAACACCAGGAAGTTAAACTGAAAATCACATCTGGTAGCTCCATTTTAATGAGTATCTACTATTCATTCACACTTCTGTTGATTTTAAAGATGGTTGTGTGTTAGTTCTTTATAATTACATTTTTTAAAAGGCGGTCCGTATCACATTACTTGTGCAATTTTAACTAATTTTTGACAAGGGAAAGATACGTATATTTTCCTTTACTCTGGTCCCAAACCCAGATTATTTGGCTGTAGTCATTTGGACTTCAGATCCCGAAGTGTCTTCATAAAGGACTTCATCTACTTTCATGTCATTCTCATCCACTGGGACCTGGAGGCAAATCTGCTCTTTGAAAGCCAAGGCCAGGGTGTAGGGTTTCACTCCTTGTTGCTGCAGACAGCGCTTCAGGTAGGTGTCATAGTAGCCCCTGCCCCTCCCCAGCCGGTTCCCATGTTGGTCGAACCCAAGACCTGGCATGAAGATGAGATCGAGGCCCCCTGTGGAAAGAGGAACACATTTCAAAGGATTAATGGATTCTGACAGATCCCTTTGGGATGAAAGGTTTCTGACATGATTGCTGTAGAAAAATCCAAAAAGTACAGAATTGGACAAGGAAGGAAACAAAAATGACTCAGCAACTCAGGAAGTCCTTCATCCATCTTCCCAGCAGCTCTTTTACGCACTTCTGTACCAAATACTGCATTCCCAGGCCCCATTCGCACCTAGTTAGGGACAGGGACGAGGGACTTTCATTCTACCCTGCAGGTGATCCTACATTCCTGGCAGGTTTGGGAACCAGGATGGTGGCAGCAGAGGAGTGGGAGTGGCAAAGATGAGCTGAAAGGACAGCGCTTCTCAGGGTCAGTGAGCGGAAAGGAGGTCCGCTGGTTAGAGCGCCACGCGGTCCGTGGCCAGCCTCAGTGTTGCTGTGGTAACGACGCAGTGCTCCATGATGCTGAGGCCATGTGGGAAGGTCCTGGGTTCACGTTTGTGTCCTGAGGTCTTCCTGTGCATGCCAGGCACACGCAGGCCCATGGTCCTGGCTGACCAGGACTAGGGAAAGGACCATGGTGTGGAGACCCCATTGAGGGTACCTGTATCCTTCTCTGGTGGAAAAAAAAAATAATGAAAAAAAAAGTATTACGCCGTTCAGACAGCCTCCTCCCTCTTCACTTCCCCCACAGATGAGGTAAAGTCAGCATGTCAGGCTTCCCTCGATTGAGGTGACAACAGGCTCTGACTTACTCGGGGACACTCCAAATGGGATTCCGCTACTGGCCCTCTAGCTGGACCCTTCCCTCCTCAGTAACACAGGGACCAAAGCTGGCCTGGCATCCAGAAGAGGTTACATACTGAAGTTCAGGGCGGAAGACAGGGCAACGGGGCCGGGAACACTGACAAGAGCAATGGACACGTGGGAGTCCCTACAGAAGGCAAGGACAGTCCATTGGTGGAGGGCCTCCATGGATTTTACGAGCCCAGGGAATGTCTATCCAGCCTCTGGCAGGAGCACAGAACTCAGCATAAGCAGGGGAGCCACATCACAACTCCCCCACAGGGGCCTGCCCTGGGCCTTCCTGGCCTCCTGAAGACTTGTCTTGGAGCTGCTAGAACACCTGCGGCTTTGCCGTGGACTAACCACTCATACAGCATTGCTGGCGAGATTCGAGATTCCAGTGAAGCTGGAAACCATGAATTTCCTGGAATAGGTTGTTCAGACGTTCAGACAGCCCGCTAGGCTGGCCTTGCTATCAGCAGCTGTTCCAACTACCTACAGGACCAGCTTCCTCTGGCTCCTGGCACATACCTGTCAAGCCCTGCCTGCCAAAGCCCAGCAGGACTTAGCTCAGGGACTGTTATGACCTTCTTGTCTACTCCAATCCCAACTGTCTCTGTCTCTCTCTCTCTTTCTGGCAAATGCACATGTCCTATAGCAAAAACCTTTCCAAAAACAAACAAAAAATAGAATTACCATATAATCCAGTAATCTCACTTCTGGGAATTGCTTGGAAAGAACAGAAATCAAGGTCTTGAGATATCTGGACTCTCATGTTTGCTGCAGCGTTATTCACGATAACCAAGATGTGGAAACAACTTAAGTGTCCATCGGTAGATGAGTAGATAGAGGAAATCTGGGACAAAGGACAGTGGAAAACTACTCAGCCATAAAAAAGGAGGAAATTTTGTAAGAGGCAGTACATGGATGAACCCTGAGTGAAGAGTCAGTCACTAAACGAGAACTACTGGATAAGGCCTTATAACTTGCATGTGGTGTGTAGGCAGTCACACTCGTAGACATGGAGAGGAGAATGGTGGCTCCCAAAGGCTGCAGAAAGGAGGGATGGAGAGTTGTCCAAATGGTAGAGCGCACAGTCATGCAACTTGGCAAGTTCTAGTGATCTGCTGTATAACACTGTGTTTCTGTTAACAATACTGTGTATTTAAATTTTTAAGGGTAAATCTTGTGGTCTGAATTACTTCTCACGATAAAAAACAAAAGCCAAAGATATCAAATGAGAAGCCATGAGAACAGCCAGGAGGATTTCTACAAGAAAGAGAAGGTAGAATTTTAGAGCATCCACATGTAGGCAGTTGAAGAGAATGAAGGAAGGAAACAGAAGGGAAAGGAGATAATATTCTCAAATCCCTTGGGTTAGAACGAATGTTGCTCTTGGGGCTAGCAGGTAGTGTGGTGGTTATGGTGCTAGACAACCACAGTTCAAGTCTTAGACCTGGTGGCTTGCTTGCTCACTTCCCCTTTCTCTCTCCAGCCAAAATTAAAACGAAAATAAGTAATAATTACAAAGTTAAATAATTTTTTTAACAAACTTTAAGAAAAAGAATTAATCCAGCTCTCTATCCTTGTTCTCCCTGTTCCTTCATGATAGCTCTCACCAAAGGCCACCTTGCACTACAGCTGATGGTATATGTCTCTGTCTGCCCCACCAGACAGCAAATTTCCTTCAGGGCCATAACTTCCTCCAAGTCATCCTTCATGCTTGAATTTTAATAGAATTCTAGACCAAAGAAACCCTGAAAGACGAGTATATTATCTGGAAATGAATCAAGTGTAGCATAACATCTCCTGTTTTAATAACTCCAAAGTATATAGGCTTGGATCAAGGAGGCAAGAAATGACAAAGGTATAACCTTGTAAGATTGCCGGTTCTACAACCGCTCAGCCAGGAAGAGAATGGCTCTTGGAGTCTCAAGTAACGGCAGGCTCTGAAATGGCCCTTTGTGGCCCTGACATCCTGCCTGGGGTGTTGCTGTTGGACCCTCCACCCACAGGACTACTATCAATATGACTGCTCCCTTCAGCCACTGGGTCACTTGCTGCCCCTGTCTCCAGGTCCTTAGGCTAGTCTTCCTGGTCTCCTCCTGCCCCGGCTATCTGGTCAATTAAGTGTTCCTGAAACACACAGTGTAGTCCTTGCTTACATCTATTTATCGTCAACCTTAAAGTTCTTCGTGTGCCTCATCACCATGATTACATGCCTTACCCCAGCCCCAACCCCTCCCTCTGTGTCACCCCCTCACACCCTTGGGGCTCTTCAGATTTTCCTAACACTGAGCTGGATGCTTTCCCTCCCCAAAGGTGAAGGATCAGCAGGGCAAGAAAATCATGCATAGGTTCAACAAGCTTTCCTTACACACGCCGGGCCCCCTAAGAGTCTCACCCTGACACACCACAAGGTCACAGGGCTGAGGGCAAGCAGAGGAAAAGCCCTGAGTCCATGCATGTGTTCTTTACATGCCTCTCGCAATCACCACAGGCTCACTCACAGAGGGCACGGGCCCAGCAACCGTGCAAGCCCACCCATTCTGATTTCACTGAATCATGTGTGCACGTGTACCCCAGGCTCGCACCGAAAATGAGCAGAGAGTGAAAGAGCCCCCAGCTGCTGCAGGGTTGCAATACGGTGTTGAAAGAGCACTCTCTGGAAGTCACACGATTGATTCTGCAGAGTCATGGTTCTCTGGGTGTGTTGGCAGGCTTTGCGAGCTTCCTAATGCAGCCTTGCACTCCCAAACGGCACAGTTAACCTTTGGAAAACTCACCCAGCCCCATGCCCGAGATCTGCTCACAAACATGGTGTCTTTTCTTTTGGTGCTGGCTCCGAAACAGCAACGCCCTCTCAAGGCAGTCTAGTGTGAGGATCGGGGCACGGGCCTGGGGCTATTTCTTAACTGTGTGACCAGGGACAAGCTAGTGCCCTCTCTGTGCTTCACCCTTCTCAGTAAGATGGAGCTGATCATAAAAAATAAGTGGATGATGCTTATAAACTCCTTAGCAGAGTGCTGTTTATGACACTAAGATTTTCTATGCGAGCTTTTCTGTTTTAAGAAACAACAGGCGGGACCAGCAGTTAGTGTAATGGCTATGTCACTGGACTCCCACGTAGTTGACTGCGGTTCGAGTCCCAGACCTGGTGGCTTAAACTCATGCTGGGCACATGTACGTATGTGCCCAGAATCCCGAGAGGAGAATAGAGGAGAAGGGATTGTGGTGTGGCCATCCGCCCTGGGGGGTGATTTCTCACATTCTGGCTCTCTGTCTCTCTCTGTCTGTCTGGCGAGTGCACGCGCCCTATAACAAAAACCTCTCCAAAAAAAGAAAAGAAGAAACAACAGGTATTCTTTTATTAAACCAGCTGGCAGGGAAAGGGAGAGTTTCCCCAGTACTTCAAGTATTTTTTTAGTACTTTTTTAACCAGAACTTGTATGACTTTATCTCAGGACTGCTCTTACTTGTGCTCTCAGCTTCAGGGTGCAGCAGAGCCAAAGAGCAGGGAAGAAACCAGGAGACAATGAAGTCAAAAGCCTCATTTGCCAACCACAAGTTAGCAAAATTCTCCTGTCAAGGGCCAGAGAGTAAATAATTTCAGCTTTGCAGGCCATGGGTCTCTGTTACCATGACTTAACTCTGCTGTGCAGTGTGAAAGCCCAGCACATGATCCAATGGCTATAGCTGTGTTCTGACAGAATCTTACTGAACAGGTGGAGGGCCGGATTTGGCCGGCAGGCTGCAGCTTGATGACTCCTGGTATAGAATGCAAGAAAAGAGTCGCAGGAAGAGAGGGACAGAAACAGTGTCCAAAGTGGCAGAATGGACAAGATCAGCTTAAACAGGAAAATATCTACCGGAGTTGGTAACCCGAGAATCACTGGGACAAGAATCATATAGGTGTGCAGATGGAGAGAGAGACTGAGCTGCTGAATTCTCATTGACTAAAAAAATAAAAAGCATGGTGGTCAAGCCAGTGGCATGATCAGTAGTGTGCTAAACGGCAGTGCTCCGTGGGTTCAGATCCCCAGCCTGGCAACATGAAACACAACTAGGGTTGAGTAGGTGAGATCCTGGCAAGCTGGAGGGCTCTGGGAAGGAGATTTCAACATGAGGCACTTTCGAGGGTGTTCCTCCCTCTTTGTCCCAGAAGAAATGAAAGGATAGACTTAAAAAGAGAGAGAGAGAGAGATGAAGCCAAGGGCCTGC